ACACACACACACTTTACCGACTCCTCTCCTCACTTAGCCCCCACTTGCAGACAGCCGTCACTACTTACTGTGCTGTGAGTCCAAGCTTTTTCTCTCCGGCGTCCACAGAGCAAAGCAGAGCGGAGATCAACGGTCTCCGAGTGTAGTGTGAACCGGAGCTGGAGTAGCGGCCGGTAGCAGTGGCCTGCTCTCTCTCACACTCACATACTCCCTCTCTCCCTTTCTCTGTCTACTTTACTGACCTCTTTAGGATCCCCGCGAAGCAGTTAAACCGTCACTTGCTTTGGAGAATGCGAAATATATAGTACATTGTCAACTCCCCAAAACCATAAAACTAAGCTTATGGGACCCCACGTGACTGCAAGCGAACCAGTGAGAGGTATCAGTCTGAGTCCAGGCTTGACCTTTACGATCCAACTTGGAGATAAAAACCCTTATTTGTTTGACATGTAAATGTCAAAGCCGCCTTCTTTTTTTACAGTTTAGCCCAAAGTAGAAGGGGGTTAGCTTTAAAATATATCTCAACACACACAGAGGAGAAGCAGGAGATAGAGGCTGTGTCCAGCCCCCACCCCCACCCCAGCAACTCAGAAGGAAAGCCTTGTAGGAGTAGGGAAACGGCAGCACCATGAGCCGGTGAGTTTAAAAGTTCAGTCGCTTGTTTACAGGAGAGGAAACTTAATTTGCCCGGGAGTAGCCTTCGTTCGGGCGGAAAGGAGAAAAAGTGACCAATTTGTCCACCGCGGGTAGTTTGTTGTCTTGTCAGAGTTGGTCAGCAGAGTCGAGAACTGATTTGTGAGTGTGTGTTCTGTGTATACTTGTATTTGTAATTCTCTCTCTTCTATGTGTGTGTTGACCACTTTTGATGTTCATCACATATAAAAGAAAGAAAAAGAAACTGTCAGTAAACCCAGTGATTCTCTGTGTGTGTGTGTGTGTGTGCGTGTGTGTGGCCCCCTTAGTGATTGCGCGCTTGATGCTCACAATCATGCTTGATGTGTTGCGTCTTTATGCATGGTGTACCTATTGTGCATTATATGTTAAAAAGTGCGTAAAAAACTACAAAAAGAGGCGAAAATCAAAAATAGACACTTAAACTCGGATTGAAGAGTTAAGCCAGATCTACATAATGTAAAATCAAACAACTTGATTTCAGCCTATATTGGAAGTCAGGTAAAATAGTAAATGGTTTGATATTGTTGGCACAATATATAATACTGCTTTAGTAAATAACCACACACGCCACTACTAACTATTGAGGCACATTGGTACAGCACCTATGGATATGCAAAGAAAGCAATTTGGTGTTCGGTATAAGAAGACTTCCGCGTGCAGTTTGGAGAAGCCACAGCCACCAGTGTTTGGCAACTGATGCCAACCAAAGTCCCAGATTTGCATAAAGATATATGATATAAATATGGTATAGATGAGGTAATATGCAAAAACGATATGTGTTCGAATCCCTTCTTCCGTATGTTATACAAACACACACACACACACACTCACAGACACACACACAAAGCCGGTATCAATCTAGATTCCCCTTAAGCTGTTTGTGGAACTGTTTCTATTATGAGCAGTTGCTTCAGTCTTTCTGTTTAATGAGTACAATGAACTTTATTGGGTTTCTTGTTTGCTTTTTTTGTTTTAGTTTGTTTACTTGAAGCTACAAACAAATACAAAAAGCTCACTGGCAGACAGGTTACAGGCCTTAATGGACGGTAGCCATTAGCCACACACACACACACTCATATAAACACGAACTCGCACACTGCACCTACAAATAGCCAACTGGTCACATTTAAAAATGTCAATATATATATATCTATATACATAATTTGAGAAGCATAGAACCGATAATTACAATTATAATAACAATATAATACAGTTCCGCTTTTTTGAATAGTAGAGCTGTACACAACTTTTTGGATGGATAAACAGATACAGGCAAAGTGATTTTTTTTTAAGTTTCAAACTCGTACACACGTACACGCGCGCGCACACACACACACACACACACACACCTTTTCTGCTTCAAAATAGCGCACAATTTAATGGTAAGACAGCGAGTATAGTGGGTTTGGGGTAGGCGAGGGTATACGTGCCTTACTGGATGTAAATAACTTACAATAAACGCTCACATGCTAACTTTTCTAGAAAGCACTTGGTCAGTTACAAAAATTCACACTTGACACATAAAACGATACGTAGACATTAAACAATAGGTAGGTAGCAATGTTGTAAGTAGGACATAAGGTAGGTAGCATATTTATCCGTGACTCCCCTCCTTTTTTAAAAGAGGACAACATAAAGAAACAATTTTTTTGTTACAAGAGCAAGTACCACAGTCATGATTCTTTTTTTACGTTGCCCTAAAACACCAAAGACCGACATACCGAACAAATGAAAAGTGCTGCACTTCTGTACAGTACTCTTAAGTGTTTCTGATTACATTTTGGAATATTTTTTCTTCGTCTTCTTCTTTTGCTGGCCTCTCTTTTGTTGTTTTCTTCAAGTATTTTTTAATTTCTGGTTTGTTTCTTCCCTCCTCCAGGGAAGCGTGTACATGGTAGTATCATCTCTAAAGAGATGGACGAAGACAGATTCTGGTTTAAAACAAAGATATTTCTAGGGTTGGAAGGCGCTGCCAGCAGTGGCGAGGCTCATGCTTTTCAATTTGTTGTCCTTCTTCCACTTCATCCTCCGGTTCTGAAACCAGATTTTAATCTGCCGCTCCGTGAGGCAGAGTGCGTGCGCGATCTCTATCCGCCTCCGCCGCGTGAGGTACCGGTTGAAGTGGAACTCCTTCTCCAGCTCGAGAGTCTGATAGCGGGTGTACGCCGTTCGTGCCCGTTTCCCGTCGGGGCCCGTCATATCTGAGGGTGATGAGAGGACAAAGGGCTTTTAAAGATGCGCCAACACGCGACAGAAACGGGCTGTCATTGAGTCCAAAAATAGAGTGCGCAATTCTACAGCGCTCTAAAGTACACTCCAGTATAAGAGAACTACTTGAAAATATCAATCTAAAGTCACGAACGCCTTTGTTAGGGTGATGTTTTCTATGAGTCAAAGGATTCTCATAGACTGGAGCCACAGGTGTTTGTTTTATTGTATCAACCTCTAACGCCCCCACGCATACACAAGGAATTAAACTTACTGTTTTATCAAAATCACCAAGCGTAAAGGCAGGCCTACAGCGAGTAAAACTGTCCATCATCCTAACCACAACCTTTCTTGACACATTTTATTTCTGCTATTTCCATTCCACAGCCTGGGTTAAAACATTTGCTTTTATCTGTCACATTACTTTTTTTTCCCTTTTTAACCACCCGTCTTCACCATCACCTCTCTATATGCCCCATTTTTTTACACCCTTCAGAGTTTTATTGCCCCGTCCTCTACCTCACCTTTTTAATAAAGTTCCCACCCGTAATAAAGCTTCACTTTTCAAAGGAGCAAACCGCTTCCAAAGCCTTCCTGGCCTCACTTTCTGCTTCTTTTTTCTTTCTTTGCCCGGCTCTGTCTGCAGCTTCCCAGCCCTGTTGAGTTTTTCTTCCCTTCGTCTCTCCCCTGACAGATTTATGACGCTTTTGTGGAATTTGCTAAAATAAAAAAGAGGAGACAGAAGGGGCAATTGTCCGGCGTTCCTGATTTCTAAAACACGAAAATGTAATGGGAATTTTCTACTAAGACTTTTCTGGGGTGTACTGCTTCGATTTTTTTAGATCTTCATATCAGTATTTAAAACATGAATACATAATTTAAAATGGAAGCATCAATATTAACCCAATGCGCACGATTAAATGGCATTCCTTTGAGATTCATAATCTTGACAACTGATTTCTGACTGCCACATGAAAATATGAAATTGACGCAGTAGAAAAAAGTCTGGTAGGGTGCAGAGAAAAACGAAGAACCGTGGCTAATTGGGTATCTTCCTGCTGTTCTCGAGCATCCACTTTACACAGATCAAAGCAGCAATAATTCTGCACAATCATTAATGTGCATTTTAAGAAGCCCCGATATAGGTACAACAAGCACTAAACTGTTACCAGTCCCATGTGTCACGGAGGCTATTCTGCTGAACCAGCCATATGAATGTTATCGCCCGAAACTTCTAGGATACATGGTAAATAAGTTGTAAACACAAGACCAATGTGTACCATGACTAATGTGTAGCTTTCTCATCCAGGGGAATATCTGTGGTGTCTGCGCCTCACTGCCAGTGTTGCCAGCGGCTGATCCCGTCGGACCGCCCTCCTGCTTATGCCCGGTCCTGGGTGGCGGATTGCTGGCGTGACTGGTGTCCCGGTTATGCTGCAAGTCCTCGGTCTCTGGTGACGCGTCATCCAGTTCGGTGAAACGCTGCACTGTGCCGCCACCGCCGGTGGAGGAGGCGGAGGACAGGTTTGGTGAGCTGAGATTACCGCTTCCTGCTTGATCCGAGCGAGGAGACGAACTCCGGGCGCCCAGTTTTGTGCTTTCGTTGCCGGTTGACAGCAGGGAGTCCGCCGCAGAGGCGAGGGAGCAGCTAGATGGCTGTCTGAACCCCCTGTCCGGGGCCGGGGAGCCAAAACCCCGCGAGTCCCCACCAACTGAGCCGCCCCCGAAGTGTCCTCCAGCGTTGGCGGTACTGTTGGTTCCCCCTCCCCGGTTAGTGACGGTCAGGTCCATGCCATTGTAGCTGTAGCCGTAAGAGCCCGTCGCAGGGTGCATGGTGGCGGAGGAAGAATCCCTGTACGTCCCGCCGTTCATTGCGCCGCTGCTGCCTCCATAATTTAGCAGTTGATATTCGGGGCCATTTGGGTAGCGCCCCGAGAACGAGTTTACAAAATAAGAGCTCATTTAGGTTGTTTTAGAGACTTGCAGGTTTATAGTTGAGTACTAAGGGGCGCTTGATTTGTTAGATTTCTCTGGGTCGTTATAACGCTGGTACTTTCAACGATTTATGATGTATTAGTGAATTATGGCGTTGCACTGTACTTCGTTTTTAGCTATGTATGCGCCGTCCAAATATGGGGGTGGGGTGGTGTGTGTGTGTTGGATGGAGGGGTGTGTGTGTGTGATGGGGGAGGTGAGGGGTGAGGCGAGGGAGGAGAGAGAGACACACACGTAGTGAGGAAGGAGGAGGGGGACGGTCACGTGCTTTTGTTGACCAGTCGTAAATTCTCGCCGATGACTTTAGAGAGGTAATTTATGCTCTGAGGTTTCAAATGATAAAGATTGGGCGGGGGAAGCTCTCCCTCTCTTTCTCTCCGTCTCTCTCTCTCTTTATTGCTAGAGGTGTCGGGGGTGAGCTCAGAGCGCCACCTACTGCAGATATAATTTATTGCACAGAAAGAAGCGTTAAGGGAGAAAGGACACACAAGAGTCCATGACAGCTGCTATAAAAAAAAAAACATTGTGTGTGTGTGTTTGTTCATCACTCAGCTCTGTTAATTGACCTTTTGCTTAGTCTCACAATTAAGAGCCGTAAGAACCATAAAATCAAACGTTAATAATGAACACCATGGTATAAAAAATAGTAACTAGCCTTTCTCCACATACATCTGATAGCTGTTGATATTTATCCCGGAGTTCTGCCAGAAAGCGGTCTCACCGATAAAATACACGTGTTTTTTTGTGTTATGCGGTGTTTCGACTTGCTGCACTAATTGTTTGTACCTCAACTTCCGGCACAGGTACAAAACACCAATAGGAAATATAGTGCAAAATATCACAAAAATTAGGCAAAAATAAACAAACAAATAAATAAATAAATACATCACAGACCAAACTAAACAGTTAACACTACAAAAAATATTTGAGTTATGACAATTCGACTGGCCTGCGACTGTACATTCTTTCTTTCTTACTGCAAGCCTCCCTTGCAGCTGCAGACGAGGAATGTTAAACCTGATCTGTGACGTCCACACTGGATGGAAATCTGCTGATTTATGATTTGTTGATTCCCGGGTTTGGATGCATTTCAGCCGCGGGAGTGCCTGTGTGTGTCTAACGTTTGCGTGTTTGAAGTAGGCCTCAGTGTGCGCTCGGGTGTACACGCTTTGTTGTAACTCCGGCACAGCAGCTAGAACAGGCGACAGATGAAGAATTCCAGAGCTTTGTGTGTATGTGTGAAATGATACAAATGGATGTACTCAGTGGGGAAATGTGTGCAGTTTGCAGGCCACATTTCAGAGTGTCGGCTAAAGAAACCAGCCGTTGGAATGGGATTCATGTTGAATATTAACATATAGTAGCAGGCACATTTAAAACACACGGGCAAGCACACAACAGCAACATGGGGTTTAAAGCCACAAAAGACCCAGCTGTCACACTCCTCTCAGCACACTGCCTTTGGTATTTATAGATCAGCACAATCGCGCTGAATTTGTTCCATGAAAGAGCTCACTGAACGAAAAATATTTAAATATTTCAATAAGGCCAGTTTGAAGACAATCGTCATTCAGTTTTAGCATAGAATAAAACTATCTGTCCGTCCGTCCATCCGTCCATCCATCCATCCATCTCCTTTCTTTCGCTCAACCTACCTATCTCTTGAGCTGTACATGTTTTGCGTTTACTTTATGTTATATTGAACTTGTCACATTCTGAGTAAGAATAAAGGAGGGTCAGAATTTAAGGTATGAGTCCAGATTAGAGCACATTTTGCAACCAGTGCCTGCGCACAGATGCAGTTCCTTTTATTCTAATAATCTCATTCAAAGAGCCACGCAGATTTCAATATGCTTCATTTTTGGAGATTTTGATATTTTAAGCAATTATAGATTGTGGTCTAAGACAAACTCTTTCTAACTAATGCTCAGTTGTCTTAAACAGACAAACAAAAAACAAACAAACAATTTTTCTTCTTCAAAATTGAGACTTTCAGTAGAGAACAGCTTTCAGTAGAGATAGAAAGAACAAAACAACATGAAACATTTCCTCTTCGTTTTTCTCTCCTTAAAATATGTTAAACACCAAGCACGTATGTGCAATATGTAAAGACAAGCCCCCCTGATTCACAGTAAAACCATTTCCACTGTGTTTAACATAGAACATCTGCCAGCACGTAGTCATACAACTGATTCAAAATGGGAACGAAATCGCCAATCGAGTCATATCCACAACACAAAAAGAAACCAACGTACACTGAATATGTCTGTGCTGCAGAATACGCTTTAATAGATTTTCTCTTGAGGTAATTTCATTGCGAGTCTCACTATATTCTTAATTTGTCTCTCAAAGTATTAAATTCAAACATAACATAACTAAAAGTATCATTAATTAAATCATGTGAAATCTTTAGTTCTTCGACTCGCACAGAGGCGAGGCTGGTTTTTCTAGGTGTGCTTATTAATTATTTACTACCAGCTTATGCCATTTTTGTCTTGGCAGTATTCCAACAGGATTTTTTTTCTAAACTTAAAATGTGCATGCGTTAGATGCATGCTATAATAACAGTACTAGCTTGGTATGACTTAAGACCGTCAAATAATAAATAAATAAATATCTGTTCTCTGTTATGCTTATTATGTGTGTTATTATACCCATAACTCGAACATTCAGAAATATATCTCGAAAGTTCTGAATGAAAAGCCGGCAAATGAAATCATTCTAAAGTAACTCTGATTTAGACCATATTTGTCTTTATGGTTTTCATGTTTCATGAGATAAGCTAATGTGCAGAATGGTGTGTATGTGTGTGTGTGTGTGTGTGTGTGTGTGTGTGTGTGTGTGTGTGTTTGCACCCGCATCAGTGAAACTTCCAAGATGGATACAACGCGCCGGTCACTCAGGGGACAAGTAGAGTTAAAAGGTCACGAGGACATTGTCCACTTTGTCTGCGTGAAGTGTGTGTCTATGTGTAACGTGTCTGGCCGCAGGGCTCGAGGAGAGGTCAACTTTCTCTGCCTCACTCTGGTCATCATTTAGTTTGAGCCCGCCATCAGCAGCTCACTCTCCTCGTCGCTTTCCTTCCAGATCGTCGCGTGCGCCTGTTTGGCCGCAGCCTTGCGTTTAACACCAGTAAGAGGCTAAAAGGCTCAAGCGTGTTAAAGTTGTCCTCTAAATCTTAAAATAAACCAATCTCAAATCCAGTAATGTTGAGTTTGACCAACCTTTACTGCGCGTTAATTAATGTTAGAATGAATGAAAATTCATTTCATGCCCCAAGACACACACACAAACACACCCTATCCCCGTTATAAAAATAACCTTTCTCCATAAATTCCGTTACATTTTATTGAACATTTGTCATAGGTAGTATATGTGATTACTTGACAATAACACATAACCAAAACATGTAAAAATCGATAAAATATACACTTTCCTGAATGTTTTAGGTAGTTTGGCGAATAACATCAGTAGGTTAACAACCGCAACCCCACCCAAAGCTTCAACAGGTTTCCCGATATTGAAAATTTCCCCGCAATCGTAGTTACATTATTTTCACCATACAAGGCGTTTTCCCCTTGCTTATTTCTGTACAGTTTAAATATGAACACCATAAGACATACATACCTCCAATAGTTTTTCCTCCCTTCGTGTATATGCAGAGCATACTTGCACCTGTACTTAAAGGTATTAAAGGCTACACACATTTACAAATAATAAGAAACAAAATCAGGAAGGAAACAGCCGGATGTCAAGTTCTAAAGCCCCCAAAACAAGTTATAAACCCTAAAACAAGTGCCTTACATGATGTCTTTGAAAGAATAACAAATAAAATAAAATAAATTAAATATGCATAGCCATAAAAAAGTACAGTAAAAAAATCGGTAGGCGGAATGCAGCGATAAATTGTGTTTTAAAACTACTTGTGGCCTTAGGTTGGTGGCCTTTAAAAAAAGTGTTCATTCATCTATTGTATTCTTTAATTTAACGCCATGTTCCTTTCCCCTCCCAGGTTTTATCGTATCTGTCCCTTTCCACAGTTACATAACCTTTGCTGTAGAGTGTTTTACAAATTATTACCAAATATCAGACCACTCAAGTACAGCCCACAGAAAGAGTTGATGTAAAGGGGATAAAAATAAATCCCCCCATTCCGTTGTTTCACCACTGCTCAGGTGAGGGAAAAAAAGAAAGAAAGAAAAACAACAGAGAGAGAAAAAAATGCGCAGGGGGGGGGGGGGTGCTCTTGAAAAACTTGGAGGCATGAGATTAATCAGCATGTCTTCTCTTTTATTCTGCCCTTCCTTTTACGTGTCTTACATTAGTTTATTTTTGGTCCTGTATTACTCAGTCCGTTTCTCCTCTTCATCTGCACCGTTAGCCGTAGAGGAAGAAGAAGAGGATGTAGAAGAGGAGTTGATCAGCTTGTTCTCCTTCTTCCACTTCATCCTCCGGTTCTGGAACCATATTTTAATCTGTCGCTCCGTGAGGCACAGCGCGTGCGCAATCTCGATCCGACGTCGCCGCGTGAGGTACCGGTTGAAGTGAAACTCCTTCTCCAGCTCGAGCGTCTGGTAGCGGGTGTACGTCTGCCGACCGCGTCTCCCGGGGCTACTGAAGGTCCCTGAGAAGCAAGGAAAGAAAGAGACAGAGACATTTGAACCAAGAAAACAACACTGAGGCGTTAACTATTCTGTTAAGAAAAAGTTACCAGAAAAGTTCATCACATGCATATTCTATTCTATTCTATTTTATTCTATTCTATAAGTTTCCACAACAGTGCCTGTTTAGTATTATCTAGGCTATTTTGCCCTCCGCTTAAATTAAGAATTAGTACTGTTCACATTAAAGAACAATGCAGACGATGGCTGCCATCTAACAATGTGCGCCATCCCTTAAGGACACTGTTTTAATGTGAATTTAACATTGTTTTAGTAAAATGTTTACTTACTCTGATTGCGAAGCCGCAGATTATTTTTGGCTTTGTGAAAAGTGAAAACTTGGATTTCTTATTTTGTTTAATTAAAAACAATAACAATCATTCTACAGGAAAGTTGAACGTCATGGTTTATGAAACACGGAGAATAACTATGTTATATAATGTTGCTGGTGGTAAGTAGCAGTAAATTCAGAAAAAAAAATTCCCGTTGTGGGGTGTATACACCGATCTTCACTAATAAGGCAATTAAGGCAACTTCAATTTATGTATTGATTTGAAAGTAAGAGCATGGATTGCATGCCACAAGCTATTCATATCTAAATCCAAATGACCATAAATAACTTTCCCCTCTCTCTGGCTACTATTTGCACCTTTAACTGTCATTTATAACGCGCTCTTTGTTTTCCTCCATATATATTTATTTGCGGCGAAGTATGTTACCACCTCATCTGTCATAACTCGGAGTGTCCTGCAGGGCTTTATAAAACACTAGCTCTGCATCATCTGCTATTACTCATTCTACCCTCAACAGGCCGTTTTTCTCTCTTAAGGATGGTTTGCAGCACAGGACAGTGTTTAACACTTTAGGTTAAATCATGCAACAGTGTAAAAGCACAAACTTTTAGGAGAGCCGGCTAAATGAGACTATTTCACATTATTTCCCCCACGGTTTGCCTCACTTTCACTTTAAACTTTAGGCTATATCTATATACGATTTGAATCAACAGTGAATAACACTGTCTACGCTGCAAAGTTAACTCCGGAGGCTCAATAAACGATAAGATAGAAAAGGTCAAAACCAATAATAGCAACAGGAAATAGGTATATCTTTATCAGCACAGAAAAGAAACGTTTGCAAAAACAAAACAGTGTTTATCGCATCATATTGGTCATGTCTCAAAGCAGAGTATGTCTGAGAGGAAAAGCGTTTTCAAAAATAAAAGAGATGAACTATTCAGACACATTTGAATAAACGAATGACTAATAGAGTGTGGATATTTGGACTTATCTCTGTATTTCCTCTTTATCTACATCATTAATTTTTTTATCTGCTCCTTGTTTTCCCCCACACTTTGCTTTACTAGGTAGCATCGTCGCGGGTCACACAGGCTACAGTAAAAGGACCCGCAATGCAAACAAACCCGGTTTATGACGGACAATAAAATACAGCGCACATGACGGACTGACAGGTCAACAAACGGGGATCATAAAGCAGCTTCTGTGGCAGGAGGAGGGAAAAAGGAAAGGAAATCTAACAGAGGCTGACAGAGGAAACAAACGTCATTTTTATGACTGGGATCATAAAATATGCAAGAAAGAGAGGAAGAGGAAGAAGAAGACACTCACCGTTGCAGGCGTTCATCCGCTGCATCCATGGATAAATGGGCACTGACGCCGACTGTTTGTCTTCCATCGTTTCTCCGAAAAGCCCCTTTGCACTGAGCCCTACGCACTCTGTTTTACGCTGCACGCCGTCCTGACTGAGCGCGAGCTGATGCTCCTCCAGAGCGCACGGGTGTTCCTTATCCCTGTAGAAACTCGAGGCTGCAGCTGCGGCCGCCGCGGCCGCCGCTGCCGTGGCGTAGTCGCAGGCACCGGTTCCGGTCGCGCCCCCAACACCGACCCCCGCCGCTGCTGCTGTCGCCCGGTGTCCGGTATATGCTCCATTGGCCGCCTGCTGGTAGTAGGTGGATGCCGGGTACGGTTTGTCCTGGTGTGCGCCGGGTCCGCCGGTGCTGTATGCCACGGCTGCGGTAACGGCTGCTGCCCCCGGGTAGTGCCTAAGCGGGTGGTCGGCGGCGTATCCCGATGAGTAGAGAGGTATCTGACCCAAAAACGACTCTGCTGCCGCCGCCTGCCCGCTTCCACCCGTTCCCGGTAGCGTCACCGGGAAAGAGGAGTTGACAAAATAGGAATTCATCAGGAGAAAGAAGAAAAAGAGGAGAAGCCGGAAAAGAGGAGAAGAGGAGAGGGGAGGACAGGAGGGGACGAAACAAACACAATAACAACGTTCACTCGATGAAGAAGGAGAAGGAGGAGGAGTAGGCAGAGGCTAACGGCTAGCAGCTAACGGTTCTCCCTCCCGTCCTGCTTCCTCTGCCTTCCCCTGCCTGCACTTTATGATTTGTTGTGTTTTATAGCCGACAGTCCGACGGGCTGCCGCTATCACTTAGTGTATCGCAGATTGGGAGGAGGGGGGGTGTATTAGGTGGGCTGAGTGCCAGTGTGGGACGGAGGGGCGTGTGGAGGGTGGGGGGCAACAGAGAGAACCTCTCCGTGTGTATGCGATCGGAGAACACGGGACGGGGCGAGAAGGGGTATCGGGTGGGGGGTTGGGGGGCAGACACCAGCTGACCTCGAACTGACCAATGGGACGCGTCTGTGCCTGGCATTCGTTCGCTCTTTTCCTTTCGTTGGAGAGGAAGAAGAAGAGGAAGAGGAGGAGGTCTGGGAACTACCGAATACACCCCCACCACCACACACAAACACGCTCTCTTCCTTTCTTTCCTTTTTAATTCGTATCTAATCTCTCTTTCTAATCTTCCTTCTGTTCCCGGTGACATTGCACAATCACACCGGAATCCTCGGCGCGTTAAATTGATTCTTTTCTCTCCCCGTGTGTCTTCCTCCGTCTGTTGTTGGACCCATAAAAACCAGCAGTTCTCACACGTATGCGCGTTTTCCCCTTGGGGTTGGGAGAGAAGGCAACCGAATAATAAAATATGTTTCCCGGCGCTTTGGAGATAATACCGACCGCATTAAAATGAATTTGTGGAGCGTAAATCACAGCCGGGAACGTGCGCGCGTCTTGTGTGTGGTGCAGTGTGTGTGATGCTAGTATTAGATTCAGCCTACTATATAATATGGGCCATGTAATTGGAGAGTTGTATATTTGCAATTGGTATATCTGGTGATTGGGTAGTTTATGTCCCCTCTTTGGTCAGTGTGTGTGTCCTACTCCTATCGCAGGCTGCTATTTTCTAAAGCAGAAGACTAATTTAGTAATTTGGAAGGGATTTTCGGCACATAATCTGATAGTGAGAAATGTTATATATATATATATACACACACATACATATGCTGCTATATGAGTACCATAAGACTATTCAGTCAGAAAAATGTAACTCCTATACTGAGCCAGAGGGTGCTGGGTTTGATCAATGTGTGCAGTGATTTATTATTTTCCTTTTTTCTTCTCCGGTGACACTGATTAGCCTGAAATGTAAAACAGGAAAAAGAAAAGAAGTATTTTTTTTCTTTCTGCTTTTTTTCTTAGCGTCATCTTGACACTCATTAGACCCACGCATCTGAAGCTCTTTCAGTATATAAATGGCCACGTCCATATTTATATTGAACCGAAATATATTGCATTGTTTAAAAAAACAATTAGAATGAAGTCTTCGAATAAAAAAACAAACAAAAACGCCGTTATTATAGATTTGTTAGTTTTACCACTAACAAAAAACATACTGCATTACTACTGTAAAATTAAATTATATTTTTTCTCAGTTTCACACTATATGGAACGATAATTATAAATGTTAAAAGAAAAACAAACGTAGCTAATGTCGTACGCTAGTGTCACAAATTATTATTATCATCCCTTAGAATAATAAAAACTAAATTTACACAGACACATTTTGCACTCTTTTTGCAAAGAAACATTAGAACCTCCCTTTCCTTCTTCAAAATTAGAGAGGAGAATAAATAGGGTCGAGCTGGGTGGAGGGTGGGGGTATTTCGGCGTGCTTTTCATTCGCGGTCACAAACGGAATATGTGTCGCTGAGGTCGTAAAATAACCGCAGTCATAAATAAGCACCC